TGCTGCTCCTGTGCGCAAATGCCTGTCCGGTCGACCTCGATGCATCAAGCATGTCTCACACCAGGACTGATATGGGTGTGTGTCAACTCATGCAACAATTGCTCTTCCTCTGATGGCACTCTTACTCTAAGGCTGTGGTCTTGGTCGCCTTGCAACCTCCATCTCAGCTGCTGCCACCGCTGCTGATGCTGCTTTCAGCTCTAACTCCTTGATGTAGCTGACCAATCTCTGGTAGCATTTAAGCTTGCTGCCAGAGGTGCTGATGCCATAGAAGCCGCAAGCCGCTCGAAGCTCCCTCAGTTTCGATTCCGGGGTCAACTCAATCCCATTGACCATTAAGCTTCCAGGCATTGCTCCTCCTGCGACCAATCTCCCTTCCTGTTCTACGCCATCTTCCCTCACAGGCTCATCATGCACTTCCTCTACTACCTCTCTCCTCTCCATTGGCTGAACTGCCAATTCCATTCCAGTGTCGACCTCAAATCCCAGCTCATCCGTGGTGTAGCTGTCCTTCGTCAAGATGGTCATGATCAAAACGTTCTCTCCCTTTGCCTCCTCAATCAGCTCCTCCTGCTCCGTGAGTCCATGTAGCGCCTCACAAAGCTCCACCATCTGCCAACGACCTTGCTGCTTGACCAGGGTCGTCCTGAACCAATTCACCTTCGAATCGATCTCCCCATGGTACTGGGGCGTTTGTAGCTTTCTTCCCAAATGGATCCCAATCCATCTGTCTCCAGAACTCTGAGCTCTGGCCTTAATGGCCCGCACAAACCCTTCAGCTATGAGGCTTCTGTTCTGCAGCTTCAAGGGGATCCTGATCTGGTGATGTCCTCCTCCATAGGTCAAGACTCGGTCTTCACCATCAATTCCCCAGCCTGCCTGCATCATCTTCCTAAAGGAAATAATCGGCTGATTGATGCCCTCGGCAAAGTGAGCCTTCTCGTGGATTTCAACCTCTTTGCCCTGCTCTGTTCTGAAGCAGAAGCATACATTCTTGTATCCTCTGACGCGGATGTGCTCTCCTTGGGCGTCTTGTAAACGAGGGGCTGATTCCGAAAGCTCAGCTCCAATCCCAAGGAACGAGGCAGGAAGAACGGTAGCATCAGCGCCAGAGTCCACAATGACCTGACATAGATCTCGGCCACCTCCAAAATAATCGTCTCCTTCCTCCTGGACCACACGAAGCTCCTGCTCCTCGTCTCCCCTCATCTCCTCCACGTCCATGTCATAGAACTTGACCATCCTGATGTGCTCCTCTTCCTCGCTGATTGACCTCAGGTCGAACACCATCAACTGGTTGAATTCTCGTGAAACCTCCTGTGAAACCTCTTCAATCCTCTTGATGGATGGGGTCTTCGTCGTCGTGGTCGGTGAGGTGTGTGTGTGTGGTACTCGACGTCTCACCCTGGGATGCGCTCGAACTCGCTTCGACCTGCCTCACCACCCGCCAGCAGTCCTTTGCCATATGGCCGGGCTTCCCACATGTAAAGCAGGTCTTTATTGGGCTCTCCTTTGTTTTCCCCTTTCCATCTGCCTTCTGACCCTTCTGGCCTATCTTTCCTCCTTCTTGGCCTTTTCCTGGTGCTTTGCCCTTGCCTTTGGTGCCCTTTTGATCACCTTTTCCCTTTCCTTTGCCCGGTCCTCCATCTTTCCCTTTCGACTTGCCTTTGCCCTTGCCCTTCTCGGTGATGCGGTCGATCTCCATGGGCGCTGGTCCTCCCGTGTCCTGGCTGAGGATCATTGCACTGGACCACTTCGTAGTGGCGTGGTCATACTGGATGATCGCCTCCCTCAACCGGCTATAGCTTTGGGTTTCTGCCACCTGCAGCTGGAGCCATGTCTTCAACTGGCCTCCAACACATCGCATCAGGGTGGCAAACTTGATGGTCTCATCGAGGCGAGCTCCTGTCTTCTCGTACTCTGCATAGGCCTCCTCCAGCTTGAGCAGCTGGTTCAAAATGCTCCCTTTTCTCATGTCGAACTGTCCCCACTCCAATATCATCGTCAAAAGTTCAAGGGACCGGTTCTTGCTTGTGGGCTCCAAGCTGTGGATGAGGACTCTGTAGGCCTCCAGGCCATTTGACTCCTTCACTTGCTTGATCAGGGAGAGGGGCCTATGACATAGAAGAGATGCCAGCAAAGCATACAAGAAGCTGCTTCGTTGGCGCTCTTCATCACTTTGGAGGGCCACTTCAATCTCCCTTCCTGGATTGGACCTGAGCTCTTTGATGTCCTCGATGAAGTTGGAGTCCATGGAAGAAAGATATTGCTCCAGGCTCCATGAGAAGTCCCTCCATTGGGCGATCTCTTCCTCCCTTGAGCGTGGATCGAAGTTGGGAGGCTTTGGTAGGATTCGAAACCAGTTTCGATCCTCTGGCTTCCTGGATACCGCTTCCACTGCGGCTTTTGCAGCCGCCACAGATGCCTCCACCGCCTGGACCATTCGTCGGGCTATTTCGGCTCCATCAACTGCACCTCCAGCCACACTCCCTGTAGGAGAACCTGGTATTGGAGATCCTTCCAAACCAGCCATTTCTGCGTGCTCTCACCCTCCTTGGGCTCAAAAACGATGGGCTCCTGGTGGATGTAGGGATCATGGGCAAAGGGAAAAAACTTGTAATCGAGGATGAACTCTTGCAGTGATTGCGAGCTCTGCTGGGTCTCCGCCCAACACTAGCCAGGCACCTATGGCAGCCGCACGTTCGCGCGGCCGGGCCACCGACCAGGGGATTCGGGTCCTGTCCCCAAGGATCCTGGAGCCTCAGGCAAGAGCTATGCAATTGCCATCCTAGGCTCCGCTACCATGCGGATCCTTTTGACAATCTGAAACGGCGGCCTCCATGTACACTTCTTGATTTGTGTGTGTCACCTTTGGTGTACATCACTTGTCTACACACATGAGATCACATGAGTGCTTTTCTTGTGTATTCGCAAGTTCATGTTCCAGTTCCGATTCCAGTAAGCTTCAACAGGTCAATGACGTACATACCTCTCTTTGTTCCCTGTCCTGTCCACATGTTGCTTTTCTTTTTCCTCCCGGGGTGTAGTTCCAGTTGCAGTTCCTGTTCCAGTCGGGAACACCATGCTTCGAGCCAGGTTGATTTGTTGAACAAACCACAGGGCTGGTGCCTTGTTTGCAAAGGCGCCCCGCGAATCCATGTCTGCTCACCCAAAGAGCCAAGACCTTGGACGTGGCTAATTATGGACTCGACTCAAATCTCGAACAGACCTCTGAATGCCATGCGTAACACTGCACAACATAGAGTGCCAGAATACTAATCATCACAACCCACTATGTTGTGAACAAAAGGTTGTCATACCAAGTAGGTATGCCACCATGCCGTACCACAACAACAAACGTGTAGCATCCCAGTAGCCGTTTGAAGCTGCAATGATCTTGGCCAAGGTTCTCATACTGGGCAATGTTCAGCAACAAACATAAACTCATTCTGACGGGAAAACAATACACCACACTTGCGATGACGATGATCATTGTGTGGTGGGCGAAGAATATAGATATAATGATATAGTGGCAAAATACATGTTTCTTTTAAGGATTTGATTTATTTGAAGAGAGAGAGAGAGAGAGAGAGAGAGAAAGAGAGAGCCCATGCCAATCCACTGCGCTCCCTAGCTGCCGAGAAGCAAATTGCGCAAACATCTGATGAGAGCGGCTCAAAAAAGCCTCCCTTGGTACCTGAACCATGCGATGCAAAACCTCGGAGGCGCGTACTCGCAGGTTGATGTCTAGGCTTTCGGAAGCTACCGAACTCTTTCTTGCTGCAAATTACCAAAACATGGTCTTTTTGTCAGCTGAGGTGCTTGATTCCGCTCGTTCTGCGTCACTGCTTGTGCTCGCGGTGCGTGTGAGCTCCATCTCATCGGATGGCTTTCGTGGAATATTGTGAACACAACCTAGGCCCGGCATGGCAAGCGAATTTGCAACCTTTAAATAGATCTGGCATGTCTCACATTATGCAATTCACAACAAGCTCGCCTGCTCGAGATGCCAGTACGCGTAGCTCCTGTCTCCATATCTAGTGTGAGGATCTCTGATATACTAACCATGCAAGGCTGAAGTTGCCACAACGACAACCTTCACAGCTGCACTGAATTCCTCCAGCAGTTGTGGCTCTGTCAGTGAAGCGCCCTCGCTGAGCGGAGGGAAGCTCAAGTGCCAAAGTCCTGACGTATGCATGGCAAAAACATAACTTGATATAATTTCAGAGTCTGCGTCTCATATGTCATATGTTTATCTCTTTCTCTCCCTCAAGTTCCTTCTTGCGCAGCGCTTTTGGCAAGTTGCAAAGCATGTAGCTGTTGTTCATCACCTTGAGAATTTCGCATGCGATTTCCACCCTGCTGCACCTGCAGCTTGTGCCACCCAGAGGCAAGCATTTGATTTGGACCTCTGTCGGGTCAAGGCCAAGCGACCTCCAGAAAATTAAGAATGGCGACGGTCTGCTACAATGCTGCGCAAAACACTCGATTCGTCGATTTGATTTCTCAAATTATCTCAAATTATATTGGACCTCCGCATTCTGCCGTGCGCCTCGTTGGGAGCCACTGAGGGAAATCTCATCGCCACTTTTTGCACAGCGGAATTTCACCGCAAGGGTTGTGGGCGCTGCAGCCTCAGTCTCAACGCAAAGCTTCTTGATGCTTACTTACCTCCGCCTCCGTCTCTATTTTGTTTTGTCCCTTTGCTGTCTCCCTCAGGCATGCTCTGCAGGTGTTCGACCAATACTTCACCTGACTGAGTGGTACTGTATTCTCTTTGAAGGCCTGAACTTGAGGGGCACTTTATAGCATCTAGTTTAGCTTGAGCTCCCCTGCGCCTTGGAAACCAACGACGCACCGGACCGGGAAACTCAGGGCAATGCCTCTTTGGATTTCATGATGGGATGACAAGGGCGAAGAACGTCAAAGTCAGGGCAGTATTTCTTCAGATTAATGTGAATGACACCTTGGGATACATACGTCATTGAAAAGCTGGAAATTGATGAGCGGGCCAGTAGCTCCAAAGATTCCAGCACTTGAATAACTCTAGAGATGTGACGACAAGCAAAGCCCCCGGTGACGCACCAGAAATGGAACCATCCGATAGAGTGCAACAGTGGAGGACAAAGCCTACTTTCATCTATATATATATGATATGTCTATGTTTCTGTTGCGGGCTAAGCATGCTACATCTCACACGATTTGCAATCTGGCACGCCACTTCTATTCTAGCAACCCCAAAAA